GATAAGCCCGGCGAAACGCCCAACCATATGCAGCTGTGGGTACCAAGTGGGGCCACGATTGCGTTGGGGGTGCGCCAAGATGGGGCGGCGCCGCCATGTGGACCACGTTACTAGGGCCTCCGGTGGAGCTCCATGCGGGGCCGCGAACCGAGCGAAGGGTGCGCCCACATGGGGCGCAGCCGCTATGTAGACCTGCCACTGGGGCCGTCAGTGGAGCTCCATGCGGGACCACGAACCGTGCGAGGGGTGCGCCCACATGGGCGGCGCCGCCATGGGGCCATGCCGCCGGGGCCTTCGGGGGAGCTCCATGTGGGGCCACGAAACGCCTGAGGGGTGCGCCCACATGAGGCGGCGCCGCCACGTGGACCCCGAGCCAGCATGGATCCTGGCAGATCGGCGGGCCTGGCGAAAGCATGCAAGGTAATCAGGAATTTCGGGTCCTGTCCGAGCCCATCGATATCCTCTTGCGCGAGCGCATAACCTTCCTCGCAGTCATGGTCGGCCCGCGCGGCGCCAAAATAATTGCCCTGCCTGGCCCACTCGCGCGCCAGAATATTAGCAGAGGCCATTCCGCCATTCCTGGTGCAGTGGAAGTTCTTCTGTTTCGGGAACCCGTACTGGTCGCAAAAGTTCACGGGGAAGCCTGGGTTTGCAAACGCGGCGGCACAATGTATTGCGTTCTTGCCCGCCGCCAGGTTGCCGACGCCGCCCCGCTGTCTCGCGCGAAAGTACGTCTCGCGTGATCGCGTCTCTTTGGATGCACTGCGCGGTTCTCATTATGGACCTGCGTCCCCGAGAATTTCCAGAGGTGCGCCTGGCGACCTGCAGCTTTGCACAACCAGTTGCCACCGCGCCGCGAATTCAGGCGATGCCACCGCCCTCGAACATGCGCGCGCGCACCCGCGAGCCCACGCGTTTGTAGGCTAGCGCGCGCAAGCACGCGACTCGCGTTTGCTTGTGTACTTTTGCGTTCACCATGCTGTTGTGCGCTGTAGTGTCGCATGGGGCTCGCGCGTGGTTGCGCGACCTTTCAATGTGTCATTGAACGCAAGGGCGCCTTTGATGTGGCTGTCGCAATGCCACTTGCTCCAATGTGTGTTCGATTATCATTGCTACCGCTGTCATTGGCGCGGCGGTTCCTGATCGCAACGTCGCGATTGGTAGGCAATTCGGCCCGCGCACTTTCGCGCCGAACGCTGATATCGTGATCCCCATCGGGGCATTAGTTTGCAGCAAGGAGCATCGCGCGGGCGCTCGCATTCTCGCGTTCGGTCAGCCGAAATTCGTCCAACGCTATACCGATCGTTTGGCGTTTAAATGCTTATTTTTTGAATTACGTTTTGTCGTCAAAAGCTTCGCCAGTTGAATAGCATTACTGAGCGATGCGTGAAGTCGCTTTCGTCCATGGTGAGCGGCGGCCCGATAGGCGGCTTGTCGATCACGCTCGCGGGTCTCACCTTCCACTGAACATGCTCAATATATTCCGCCATCGTGTCTGCCTTGGCCTCGCTGGGTGTGAGGACTCCTGCCAGATTCCGCACGCACGACGCCTTCGGTTTCCTCGGCTTCCTGATGATATCCAAGTCTTTCCAACCTCCGCTCTTGATCATGTCGTCCAGCCACGCTGTTTGTCCTTCCTGGCGGACTAGCGAACAAATTTGTGTAACCTTCGTTGTTCTCTGCCGTCATTTCGCGCCCGCGCCTCTGCGCGAAGCCTGATCAGATCGAGGGTGCCTTGTTGGATCCATGGCCTTTTGGAAATACTGATCTTGTCTGGGACGATGTGGTCGCAAACTTTGAAAGACTCAACCAAACCGGTCCACTCCGAATCTACCGAGTCATGGGCGATCATTTGTTTCGCCTCCGTCTTAAAGGTGCTGACAAAACCATGTGCGATTGACTGTTGTTTCAACTCTCTCCTGTCTTTGTTGCCGCGCCCTGGGTTCGGTCGCGCGCCCGATCTGGAGGGCGACGGAACATGTGACCAAGAAGTATTTTGTCTGCAGGCTCGCGTCTCCCCGTCTCCTGATGTCATATACATTGTCAGCAGCCTCCGCTTCTGCCAGAATAAGATCCAACATGTTGTGGGTGGACTCGGACACGGGAGCCCCGTGACCCGCGCCAACTTCAACGTATGTTGCTTTCTCCTCTGGCGGTCTGTCCGCTAGCGTGCTGGCCACCACCAGTTAGCGAGCGATGCAAAACTGCATTAGCACGTCTCTGTTCGGGACTTCAACTTTCTTGACTGCTTCCCGCCCCCATCCGAAATCTCCGATGATGTCCTCCTCGCCTTGCCTGGGTCGACCCACTCTGGCATTGAAGTCGCCGAGGATCACCCGCGGGCCGTTGACAGAGCATTTGGTGAAGACGTCCTCCAGCATGTCGTTGAATTCAATTTTCTCCTCCACGGGGCGTTCATTATGTGGAGCCTATGCCGTAATAGTGCCAGATTTGCACTCTGACGGACAGCTTCAATAACGCTGTTCGCGGGCCGTGCTGCAGAAAGCCTTGAACACACCGTCTCGCCCAGGGTGCCACCACGAAGCCCACGCCGGCCCGAGCCGAGCCCGCGCCTGACAATACAATGAACAATCCATCGTCTTCGAAACTGTCTGAAATCGATGTCCAAGTCTCTTGCATGCACAAAACATCGATACTGTACTCCTTCATGGCCGCTTGAATGCAAACTAATTTCTCGTCGGTTAGGCCTTGAACGTTCCACGTGCCGGCAATGAGATGCCATCTGCTTCCGCCGAGCTGTCCTCCCCGAGAGTGTTCCGCGCCATCGCCTTCACAGTGGTCACGGGGTGAAGCCAAAATTGTGCCGACACGCCCAGGGCTCCGTCACTGGCCGGAGCCAGGCGCGCCCTTCCTTTTGCCCTTGGAGTTCCGGATCTTCGCGGCCGTCAGGTTCGCCTCGGCCTTGGTGATCAACTCCTGCAGCTGGACAGCCTTCACCAGGTCCTCCCACTCCTCCCAGACTCTTACGAATACCGTGCTAGAATATTGCTCGACAGTGCCATTCGTACAATAGTGTTCAATGTTCTCACAGTGCTACTACTGTATCACATACTACATCCGGACGGTACGGCTACTGTACTCGAGTACTACAGTTGTGGACTACTTCAACTACAGTGCTACTACTAGAACAAGTCTGAGAGTATGATATGTATTGCAATGCCCGAGTGATACCACTACTACAGGACTAGAGCGCTGCCGTTTCATGTCTGCGATATTACGACGGTCTTCCAGAGTGATGCAGTCGTAGAGTACGGCTATTCGTATCATACTACAGTGCCACTACTTCGGCCGTCAGTGCTAGAGCGTTGCCCGTGCATTGCGACAGTGCTACTATCACATCTCACTACATGACAATTCGTAGAGGAGTCTAGCAATTGAGTGATTCTTCTTCAGTACTAATGGTAAAGTGTTGGTATACCGCTACTCCAGGAGTGCAGGACCTTCAAGTCAGGCAACACTCGACTGCTATTGCTGCTGCTGTTATTAATGCAGTACTGATACAGTGGTAGTCATACTGCAGTAACACTGCTACCAAACATAGTATTACTACTGCTGCTACTGCTACGACCGCTTTCACTATTTCCATTTTTTTCGCCACCATGTCTACGATAACTACTACTACTGTTACTCGTATTACTACGAGTACGACTCCTACTACTACTACTACTACTTCTACTTTGAGTGTTACTACTACTACTACTACTACTACTACTACTACTACGACTACGACTACTACTACTACTACTACTACTACTACTACTACTACTACTACGACTATTACTACTACTACTACTACTACTACTACTATTACTACTACTACTACTACTACTACTACTACTACTACTATTACTACTACAAGGATTATTACAAGAGCTACTACTACAACTACTACTACTACTACTAGGACTGCCACTACTACTACTAGGACTACTGCTAATACTACTACTATTACTACTACTACTACTACTACTACTACTACTGCTGCTGCTGATGCTGCTGCTACTACTACTACTACTATTACTACTGCTAGACTACTAGTAGTAGTAGTAATACTACTACTACTGCTACTACTATTACTACTACTACTACTACTACTACTACTACGGTTACCGCCGCTACTACACCTCCGATTACTACCACCCGTATTACTTTTGAGATTTCATTGGTTGATACGGCCACTACGGTTACTACTACCACTATCAGTACCAGCACGACTACTACTATTTGTGCTACTCGGACAATTTCGATTGTTACTACAACTACTACTACTACCATCACTTTTATTTCTAGTCTTACTTTTGTCTACTGCTGTTTCAGCTATCGCTACTCTCACTACCACGAAGACTGATATCTATCACTTCGACTACACCTACGACGATGACTGCTACGACCACTACTACTACCACTGCTTCTACGATTACGACGTACCAGTATTAATATTTTTCTTACGACCGCTGCTACAACCCTTGTACTACCACTATACTAACCATTATTTCCACTACTACTACTACCACTACCACTACCACTACCACTACGACTACTACTACTACTACTACTACTACTACTACGAGTACTACTACTACTACTACTGCTACTACTACTGGTATCTAGATTACTACTACTGCCACCTATTTCTACTATTAGTACTAGTACTAGTACTAGTACTACTACTACTACTACTACTACTACTACTACTACTACTACTATTACTACTACTAGTACTACTGATATCTCTACTACTACGACTTATTATTACTACTGGCATGATTTGCTTCTACAAGTACTGCTACGATAAATCGAAATACAACCGCATCGGGAGTGCTACCGTACCTTGAGACGGGAGGTGGCCTGGCGGGAGCGGCTGCCGAGGGAGGGGTGGCGGCGGACGCACGAGGTTAGTTGTGGCTCGCGCGCCTCTCTTGATCTTCGGTTCTCGCCTCCGTGAGTCGTGCTGCCGCCACCGGCGCAGCGCGGCCGAG